TTTACTGTCCAAGTATCAATAGTATTTACGCTGGCTTGCATGGTCTTGCATTTATCATGATTGTTTATTCTATAATTTTTTAATTGTCATGAATTTATTATGAGTATTTACGGTGATTTTTAGCAAAGCTCGCAGCTGCGACCGACGTCGCACAGGCCGCAGATCCATTTTTATCAATTTGGATAAAAATGGAAGGTGATGCTCGTGCTCGGGATTTCGAGTGGAAGAAGGAGCAGGCCGAACTGCGCCGCCAAGAATTTTTGGAGCGCGAAGAATCGAAGAAGGAGCAGGCCGAGCAACGTCGTCGTGATGACGAAACACGACGTCACGAGCTGAAGGACCGTGAGGAGCGCGAACGCGAAGCTCACAAGCGTGAACAGCAACACGAACTTGTCATGATGTCGTTCATGGCAAAATTGTTAGGGAAATCAAACTAACCTTCAGGATTAACATGTAAATGTTACTGCTCATTAGATTTTATCAAACATCTACTTGACAAATAGTAAAAACCGAACTGCTACAACCGGTAGTTATTTACTTGGTTGAAACACTGATCGAATTTGGGGGATACCAGTCGTGCGGACTCTAAAGTTGTACAAGCGGTAGATCGTGCTTAATCGGCGAGCCCGAATGCTTGGATTGTACGGAAGTGGTAAAGCCAGCGCGCGGTAGACATTTGGGGCGGATCCCATGCCCCACTCAGCAGCCTGCCTCAAAGAGGTGATGGCGTTGCTAGTTCGCGTGACTGCTTCATGATCCCCCGACTTGAGGGGGGTTACAATACTGTAGTTTCCGTTCTTGACAGGGAATGCAGTGTCCGCGGCCACACACACTCCGGGTGCTAATACGCCTTGTTTCTTCAGCAGATCGATGAGAGGGCGACTCATTTCTCCGTCGTTCCACGAACCCGGGAAGTTATGCTTTCCCCAAACGAGAGTCCCATCAACGCCGTATAACAACACGCCAGTTACATAAACCGAATGTAACCAACCTAAATTACCAAGTCAAACTGTTATTTGCAACTTAACAATAATATTATATCTACCGTTGTAAAACGCATTTTGAATATCGCGATGGCTTGGCTCCTGCACTGGGTAATTCTTTCCGTCAAGAAAAAATGCTACTCGTGGCGCATAAGGCTCACGAGCACTGCATGCATCAGCCCATGCCAATTGCGTAACATGGTTTGGGAAGCAAATGGCAGCTTCTGGAGTGCAGCGCAGAGCCTCAAGCAGTGCACATTCTGCATTAAGCAGCACCCGCGATAGTGTCGTAGGCGGCATACCAAAGAGTTCACAAAGCGTTTTGTGTTCTACAGGAGCTGAGTACGAGTGCAGCAAGCAAGCAAGTACAACGTGCTTCTCAGCGCAACGTGCTGGTCTACCACGACGATCTATAATTGTTAATCTAA